CGCTAGAGGCAGGACAACTGAAGCTGCTCACTGTCGTTCTCACTCCGTCCGCGACTAGACTACAACTCGTCCTCTCTGGGGATGTCAGTCCCGTCATCATCACTGCCACTTTCTTGAAACACGTCATCGGCGGCGTCCAACGAAATCTCGCACTTCGCAAATGCCAGGATCAACCGCATCTTCCGCGCTTGCTCGGTGATCGCGTTGGACGTCACGGGTAGAGACTGATTGCACACTTTTGCGGCGTACATTCCAAGCCTGACTTCCAACTCCGGAACCAGATTTTGGCCTACGGAAGCCTCTTTGTTTGCCGTCACAGTTTAAGATCTCGCGCCACTGCTGACTCTACTGGAGCATCACGCGCTCCGACGGGTTGAACTTGCGTCGAACAGCACAGTTGTTGATTGCTTTTGAGTGAAGAGTGGCCAAAAACGAGCACAGAAAACCTAAACTGCCCGAATCACGCGTGTCAATACAAAAAAACATAGTTAGCGCTCCAACATGATCTCGTCACTCGATCAAACGATGTGCTATCATGAATCGCGCGAAAAACTGCGAAGAGAAGCCGCAGGGCCGCGGGATGAGTGAGCCGTGAGGCTGTTCCAGCGGCCTCCGGAGTGGCTCTTACAAGAAGTGCCGCCACCCCCCGGGAGTGGGGCGCGCCGCGCGCTGTTCACCGCCGTATATTCGGGTTAATTTGCGAATCGCTATCAGCAATACTCGTTCGCGCAAATAAAAAAAAAATAATTTGTAATATGAGCACAGAATAGTGTAATGCTAGGGGTACAGCCGGGTCAACTCGTAACAAGCCGAGGTGTCCATGATATCGCGATTGTTTCGTTTTTGCTGGCGGTGGAATGCTTTGGTTCGATTATAAGTCGACCCCCACTTCAGATTTTCAAAAATTAAAAAAAGAGTCGACCTACATTTGTGTAAATACGGTAGTGCCCAATTTAACACGGAAGGTACGCATCCCCAGATAGCTCTTGACGAATGCTAGCATTCTACCACGAATGCCAAAACTATACAGGTCTTGCAGGATGCCATGACGCCATGCCGTGTCGTACGCCTTTTCCAAGTCAAAGAAAACAGACAGGCAGTACTGCTTATTTACAAAGGCCTCACGAATAGTAGTCTCCAGACGAACTAAATGATCTATTGTAGACCGTGACGAACAAAACCCACACTGGTATTTGTCAAGGATATTTTCTTTTTCCAAAAAATACATGAGTCGTTTGTTAAGCACTCTCTCCAGAGTCTTACCAAGACAGCTTGTTAGCGCTATTGGGCGATAACTGGTCGCGCACGATGCATCTTTTCCAGGCTTTAGCAAAGGGATAACAGTGGCCACTCTCCATGAGGATGGAAATGTGCTCTCGTGCCAAATGCGATTAAACAAATACAGGACTATGTCAAGTGTAGAGGGGTAGAGCTGTGTAAGCATGTAATAATGAATTCCATCTGGTCCGGCAGCCTTAGGTTTGACTTCGAGCACCACCGGATGTTCGAACAGACTGCCGCTCTGCCCGAGTCTTGTGTTTCAGAAAAGCAGCTGAAGGGTGCTCGGAACTAGAAACACGTTGAAAGTGTTCCCCAAGGAGATCTGCCTGCTGTTCAAGGCTCTCGGGGTAAAGTCCATTTGCAGAAAGAAGCGGTACTAAAAAAGCACGGTAGTTCCTATTGACTTTCTGAATTTTATTCCACACTTCTTTGCTAGTGGCAGTGCTGTTAATCGAGGATGCATATCCTTGGAAGCTTTGACGTTCAGACTGGCGGCGTACGTATCTCGCACGAGCCTTCATTTCTTTAAATTTGATTAGGTTAGTTTGCGGTGGGTAACGTCTGAAAATTCCCCAGGCTCTGTTTTGCTTTCTTTTCGATTTGTCACAGTCGGCATTCCACCATGGTTTAGGACGATGGGGTAGGTGAGACGAGGTCATGGGGATAGCTATCATTGCAGCATGAAGAATGTGACTACTAAGCAGACTGGTGATTTGATTGACAGACAGATTGTCAAATGATGCGCAAGCGAGCTGAGTGGCCTCACTAAAAGTACCCCAGTTTGCCTCTTCGAACTTCCAACGGGGTATTCGTGTGGATAGTGTGGTGGGTGGATTGATGCGGTTTAAAATTATGGGAAAATGGTCGCTTCCATACCGGTTGGGATCAACAGCCCATGAAAAAAAGGGGAATAATGTTGGGTCACTTAGTGACGGATCAATGGATGTGAACGAACGAGTTGGAGCACTGAAATATGTAGGCTCTAGTTTGTTTAACAGGCATAAAGCAGTAGAAGAAAGAAAACACTCAATCATCGAGCCACGTGTGTCACATCGTCCACTGCCCCACATAGGGTTATGAGCATTGAAATCTCCTAGGATTAGAGCTGGTTGGGGGAGTTCGTCATAAAGAGATTCTAGCTCTCTGCGAGATAAGGTGTAGCTTGGAGGAATATACAAAGAACAAACAGTCATCAGTCGATCAGACAAGATGCGAACTGCCACAGCCTTCAATGTGGTATTAAGTGGTACCTCAACACAAGGGGTAGACCTTGCTACAATTATAGCTACACCACCAGAGGTGTGGGATGAATGGAGACGGTCCCTACGAAAAACCTGGAAGCGCGTTAGGATGTTAGCATGATTATTGTCCAAATGAGTCTCCTGAAGGCAAAACACTAGTGGGTGATGAAGATCTAGTAGAGAGTAAACATCGTCATAGTTCCGGAGTAAGCCTCTGCAGTTCCATTGGGGAACTATTTCTGCCATCTCACAAACAGGAAAAAAAATATATCTATATATATTTTAAGAGTATATGTTTCACTAGACCATAAAATCTATTTTGACGCGGGGAGCATTTTTCTTTTTAGCCGTATCTTTCGGCCTGCCGGTGGTACCACCGGAGGCCGAAAGTAGGGACTCCGAACTTGAGTGGAGTCTGTCCTCGTCGGACTTCGACCAACTCTCGTCCATTGGTTCACCGGGGGTTGCCGCAGGCTGATCCTTACGGGCCTGCGACCCCAACGGCTCACCGAGTTTCCGGGCGCCTTCAGAGGTGCGGGCGGGAATCCCCCGACCTCGAGGCAGCTGGGTTTTAGCGGGCGTAGGGGGTCCACACCTCTGCGCTTGGGTGGACCCTGGCGGATCAGGATCCTCCCTTCGGTCAGTGAGGAGAGTGGCTTGTACCACTCCAGGTGAGGTTGAGGGGGACTTGGGGAGGACACACAGGTCGTCCGTCGACGTCTGTGTTCCTGCTGACACCGTTGACCGCGCAGCGAACCTTGAGATGAAAATGAGTGTCTCTTTCTTGCTTCTGTGTAGGAAATATTGTCTTTGACTTTCAGGGAAATAATTTACTTCTCTCTTTTCCACATAGGACAGCTGCGAGAGTATGCCAGGTGAGGTCCCTGACAGTTGACACAAATAGTAGTGTTGTTACCACAGTTATCTGTGGGGTGGTCGGTACTTGCACACTTGGCACAGGTTGGCAACGGAAGCAACGCCTTGGATTTGGGATGTAGGGCCGAACCCTACAGTTTAAATACCCGGCCTGACTGTTTGAGGAAGCGTAGTCGAGTCGAAGGTTAATACTAAATGTTTTGTGGGTCGCTCTTCACCATCACGCCGGAGGGTAATACGTCGCACAGAAACGACACCCTGACCTGAAAGTCCCTCAACGATCTCGTCGGTGGGAATTTCGAGAAGGTCACCTTCGGAGATGACGCCCTGCGTGCTGTTGAGTGAACGGTGTGGGGTCACAGATACTTTGTATTCCCTTACTTCGTTGAGAGCCAGAAGTGCCGTACTCTGCTTTGCAGTAGTGACTTCCACAAGCAGGTCGCCAGAGGGAAGTTTTTTCGCTTTGAAATCCTTTCTTATCACATTCTCTAGGGTCTTTGCAGCAAAAAAAGGTGAAAGCTTTGAGAGTGGTTGGTTGTCGTTCTCTGAGTGCATTACCAGAAACTTTGGAAAGGTAATAACTGGCAATGTAGGGCGCTTGCTTTTTTTATGTTTCTTCGGTCCGACCCCTTTTCAAGGGCCGATATAGAAAAGATTTTGCTTTGGAGCCCATACAAGTGGGAGAAAAATTCAGCATCCATGGTGTGCCACCCACCACCGAGTCCAACAAAGGGAATGGTCAACAGCCCATAACAAATAGGACTTTGCTGGTACCGTTGAGCCATTAGCACTTTCCCGGGTGCTATACCCAAGGGTGGTTAGAATTGAGATAATTCGTTACCACAGAAGGTTGGCCCTTGCCGCCAAAGGATATGAAAAGGGCGTAAGGAAGGTGGGGTGAAGAAAAGGGAGAGATTTATAAGTGAAAGAAGAGAGGGGATAGTAGGAGAAAAGGCGACTGACTGGATCATCCTGGCCGAGCCTTACCAAGACACTCGTCTACAGGAAGCAGGGGCCGAAGCGGTGTGTTGCCTCGCCCGGGGGGCCCCGAAGGGTCCAAAACCACCCCGGGCTCGGCTCAACCACCAGGATGCCCTTTTCCCTGGACACGGGCTCACCACGCACAGCCAGACGTGGGTGCGTCTTACCCACTGTATACTCAGGGTCCGTAATGTAGCCAATGGGGCTGGGGTACATGGTGTCGCTACTCACCAAGCACCTAGCACCTAAGGCGCAGACGCCCCCTGCGGGGCTCGGGGTCCGTGGAGACGCCACTCTCCAAACACCTGCTTTCACAGATGCCTCCTCCGGGGACCTTCAAATTTGTCTTCAAATTGCTTTTGGTTATTTTTTATTTGACTTAGATCTCTCATAAGCACGTTTTGAGTGTCCAGAATTGCCTTCACCATCTCTTCCATTGTAGGGTTACTACCCTCTTGGCAGCAATCAGGTCCCGGATTCGATTCAATGTCACCGCTTAAAATAAATCACGAGTGACACAAATGCAATTAATAAATAAGGTTAAGCACATCTGGGGCAAGGCAGCAGGAAAAGGAAAGTATTGCTTGATCGTTAACAATGCAATGCGTGACAATTACTCACCTGCGTGAAGAAGATCAGAGGATTAGACATAGTGCACACATGAGTGCTGCCTTGCCCTCTGATGGCGAACCGTTCAGACAGCCCTTTTGTAGCTTCGTAGGCCACGGTTGATGTCGATGTCGATCTTGTGCTTTCGTCAAAGACGAGGCGCTTGTTTCTGCTGTCGTCCTCGCTGTCGGCGTGGAAGGTGGTGCCGCTGACGTTCCCTTGAGTAGTCTTCAAACTTGATAGTGGCACAGTGACGCAGCGGTCCGCTGGGTCATGCTGGCGCGACAACGGACAGGCGAAAGCAGCCTGAGCGATTAGGAGCTGCGTGAAATAGGTCAGAGAATTAGACATAGTGCACACATGAGTGCTGCCTTGCCCTAGGTAATCGCTGGTCTCATCTCACTAGCCTACAATTGGCAAGACATGGTATTTTCCTGATTACAGTTTGCTCCCAGTGTATAGTCCACAAAGGCGGTTTTCAGCTAAAAAATATATTTTTGTTAGGTGGTCTGCATTCAGTGTATAGTCTGCATTAGAAAATTTGCACTGAAAAGTAATTGTTTCCTAGGACAGTCCACAGAAAGAATTGTGGCCTGAACACAAGGTATGTTTGTGACCTGCTCGTTTTCAAGAGAGCGATGCACCACCCACGAGCTGTCCCTGGGTGACATACTGACAGTATGATCTCGTGTTGCTTACTTAAGGATAGCGTAAAATATAGTGATCATGACTATCAGACTAGACCGGTCAAGTGACAAGAAATGATGTTGAAACAAAAATTATTGTATAGCTAGGGTTCCGTGTTTTCGGTTAAAACCGTAAAAAGCCGAAAAACATCCGCCGGTAAAATTTTAATCAATTCGGTTTTATCCGATAAACACCAATTTTCAAAATCCCAATACCAGAAAAAAAAAAGGGGGTCGCATAAGTTTATTCAGAATACCGGGGCAGTTGTCCGGAGGAGAGGGCAATCCAGTTTCTTTTCAAACTTTTGACTGACAAAAGGGGAGCTTATCTTATCTGATCTCGTCAAGGTCCGATCAGGACAAAGGAGCACCGGTTTCAAGGTTGGACCGTACCATCTGTGCTTTTTACGGGGAGGAGGGTATGTGTTTCTCTAAGACTGCTATGGAAGCTATGATTCTGGCGGGTCAGCTGAAGTCCCTACATGACCCCGTCACTTCGCGAATACACGGCACCTGTCTGTGAAATTGGCGACTGCAAGGACTTCAACATGGGGAGAAAACGTAAGCTTCCTAGCGACTACGCTAAGGAGTTCCCTGATTTTGAGGTATCGACGTCCGCTGAAGCAACCCTCGTTTGCAAGTTTTGTCGAGTGACGGTCAGCGTGAACAATGGCAAAGGCGTCGTGAGGATTGCAGAGCATATGCACTCCCAACGCCACGTACAACTGAAGAAACCTCGTCTGGACACAGGCGAGTCCTTTTTAACCATTGATACTGCGCATTTTCGGTTACGTGAGACTAGCGAGAGCTGCGATTTAAAGCTACTCCTAGAAACCTACATTTACAGCGCACGCCCTTTTGCCATGAATTTCTATGAGGTTTTTATCTATCCTGATAAGAATCGCATCTTTACAGCCACTTTTCTCATTTCGCCTTGGTATTCTTCAGGTCACTCGTCGCACCAAGACTCAATCGAGGAATGCATCACTCGATCCAGATCTAACAGACAAGAAGCAGATGACATTCCACACCAGTTTTGTCGTGCACTGTGCCATGCTGGCGTACCCCTGCACCAGGCTGACGGAGCCCTTGGCAGCCTTTTTCGAAGCAAGTGTCCGGCGGCGCGCACAATGCGGTGTAGTGATCAACTCTACCGGAAATACCCGCACGAGGTTAACGAAAAAGACATCGGAACCATAAGCCGTGTGCTGAAAGAACGACCAATCTCCATCACCATTGATGAAACTCCAGAAATTCGCGGTCGTCCAGCAGTAGCAGTACTAGCAACGTTCTACGATGACGATCTTCCTGGCCGTAAGACTTTGATGATAGACTTGCAAGTGCTCCAACAGTGCAACGCAGTATCAGTTGGCATGCTTATACAAGCCTCTCTCCAGAAAGTTGGAAAGACCTTAGCCGACGTAGCTGTGTTGTGTTCTGATTCAGCCTCCTATATGCAGAAGCTTCACAAGGATTTCCAACTATCCAGCCCCGAGTTCAAAGCACCCCACTTCAAAGATCCATGCCACCTCCTCAACAACGTTCTTGATGATGGACTTAAGACGGACTCGTTTGCGGTCGTACACGATTTCGTCGTGCACTTTCCGGCCCTGTTGAAGTCGTCCCGAGAGCTGCGCCGTAAGTTCGGTCTGGTGTGCACAAGTATGGGAATGAAGATCAAGTGCCTTTCGACTGTGAGCCCATCCCGGTGGTTTTCTTTTCACGAAGCCCTCGAAGACATCCTGGACTACTGGCGTGCCATTCTGTTATTTCTGAGAAGCGATGATGCTAAAGGGAAGAAGTGCGAGAAGCTCAAGGCTCTTCTCTCATCCCCTGATGATGTGCATGATTTACTGATCAAGCTGAAGTTTCTCAAGACAAACTCGTCAGCTGTGCTGTCAATTATTAAGGAACTTGAAGCAGAGAGCACATTGGTGTATGAGGTTTATCCGATACTAGGGGTTCGTTTCTGCGCACTGCTCAGTCAATGGCGTGACCCATCCGAGACAAGCTTAACATCTGATGTCGCTAGTCTGCTAGACCTCCTTGATGAATGTAACCGCTCCAGAACTATTGCAGACCTCCATGAATACTATGCTGCTGTAACTAGAAAGTGGTCCCAAACAGTCGAGAGGAGCCTTGCTGATGAACTGAAGTACACGAGCGAATCGTTTTGGTACAACATGCAAATTGTGAATCCAAATGTGAAGCTTGAGCTGCCCCGCCCGTTTGAAAACTATGAGCACATTTTCAGGCTAGTGTTTCTTGAAACTGACGACATGTGCCAACTCATTGATGATTTCGGAAATTATCAAAGCTATGCAATCCCCAACATTGTTGATCCTCTGTCATTTTGGAAACTTCATGCTTTCCAATGGCCAGTTCTCTCAAGCTGTGCGCTGAGACTTTTAGCTTTACCCGTTTCCAGCGCTGTCGAATGAGCATTTTCTATGCTAAGGGTCATCAGTCGGAAGGAGCGCGCTGCCATGAGTGATGCGAACTTGGTTAAGTATGCTTGCATTTATTATAACAAGCTGTAAGGCTTGTTGTAATATATATAAGCATACGGCCCCGTATGTAAATATATGTGCTTTTGTTTGAAGCGTAGATCTGTGCTCACTGTAAGCATTTCTCGCGATTAAAGTGGCTTTCAGCGTTTTGATGCGTTTTTGTTTAAGTATTATTCTATTTATTTATAAGTATAACATTAAGAATACAGTAACATTTAAACTCCGAATTTCGGAGAATTGGGAACTTAAAAAAAAAATAAGCACCGATAAACACCTAATTTTTGATAAAAAATAAACTCCGAAAAACATCTGCCGAATGTCTTCAAAAATAAACACCGAAAACACGGAACCCTATGTATAGCGCACAGCTGTAGACAGTCCGCACAACGTAAAATATCAACTCTTAAACATGTATAGGCTGTGGACAATAGACTGGATTGATTGATTGATTAATTGATTGGGGGTTTATGGCACATCAGCATCTAAGGCTATAATGCGCCAAGAGTCTGAACTACTGCAGTAGAGGGTTAGAGAGAAGAAAGAGCTATAGTAGCAGGTGATGTGATAAAAATATGGACATGCATTTGTATAAGTGTAAAAGGTATGGTCATGAGTTTGGGGTGGAAAATAAAATCACAGTCGGTGTATAAGGCCGATATCAGTGAGAAACTTAAAGAAGCATTCATGTGAAATAAGTGGCTCATCACCTAGAAACAGGGCTAGGTGCAGCGGGACATGTTCTCTATACAGTTGTGAGAAGTGTTTCTGACGGTATTGATCATATGTGCGACATTCAATTAAAATGTGTAAAACGCGCTTAAGGTTTGTTACAGTATTCACATACTGGAGCATCTTCCCCACTCAAAAGGTGCCCATATGTGAGACGTGTATGACCAATTCGTAACCGACACAGGATTACTTCGTAGAAGCGCTCCCGATGCCGGGCACTTTCCCATTCACTGATGTAAGGTTTTACTGCATGTAACTTGTTGTACATTTCAGTATTCCACTGAAGTTGCCACTTTGACCGAATGCACCGTTTTAGAGACGTGTGATAGTCTTTATAAGATATTTCACGCAAGTCTACTTGTTTCTTGCTAGCAGAACGTGCTGCAGAATCAGCCGCTTCATTTCCCAGGATGCCAACATGGCTAGGCTCCCAGCATAAAGTTATGCAAATGTTGCTGTTTGCGGCTAGAATAATCTTACTCTGCAATTCAGAAACAAGCGGGTTTGTGACCCATTCCAGCGATAAAACTGCTTTTAAAGAACTCAAAGAGTCAGTGAATACTACTGAGCGAGGAAACCTTTTCTTGGTTATGTAGTCGACCGCCAATAGCAGACCATAGAGCTCTGCCGCGAGTATGGTGGCGTTTGAGTTTATTCTCCTTACTCGCTTAACGGATGGTCCAATCATAGCGCATCCCACAGTGGAGTCATCTTTTGTCCCGTCCGTATAGAAACTTGTATACTCCTGATATTTACATTGAAGTTCCAAAAATTCCTGCTTCATGACTTCCTTTGGAACATCTTTTTTACTATGTTTCGTTAGTGTGAAGTCGCAGTGAATGTTGCTGTAGTCCCATGGGGCAATATGTGGAGGGTATTGGACTACTGGGGCCTTTGCATCCGTCCCAACAGACTCTGCTGAACTACGATTCCTAATTGAAAAAGAGGGAATATTGGAGGGCTTGTTTTGAACTGTTCTCTGGAACCGAATGTTTTCTATGTTATCTCGGGCAGGGTGCTCAGGGACCGAGCGGACCCTAATGGAGTACATTAAACCTAGTGTGAACCTTCTATACTCCAAGGATGGTTCATTAGCTTCTACGCACAGAATAGGTACTGGGGAGGTGCGGAACGCACAAGTAGCTAAACGCAACCCCTGATGGTGAATGGGGTCCAACATCTTCAAAGCCGATGCCCGGGCAGAACCATACACTATGCAACCATAGTCAAGCCGGGAACGAACGACAGAGCGATAGATGCGTAATAGACACAGTCTGTCTGAGCCTCGTGCCACATGCGGTAAAACCCTGAAACGTTGAGAGATTTCAGACATTTCAGTTTAACACTCTTAATATGTGGAATAAACGTGAGTTTTGAGTCAAATATGAGACACATAAATTTGTGTTCACTTTTTACGGAAATTGGA